GATCAGTCAATTAGAATAAAACATAGGACTTCTGTTCTCAGGTCATGGAAAGCAATTCTCTTTCAGTTAATTAGAATGAAACATAGGACTTCTGTTCTAAGGTCATGGAAAACAAGTCTGTATCTCTGGCCATGAACAAAGTCATCTGCAGCCCAGTTCCGCTGGCAGTCATTCTATGCCCACAAGGAAAGCCAGCCCTCAGATGAAGCCATACTGTTTATAAAAAGATACCACATGCTGATAATATCAATGATTAACCTTGAAGTACCTTTAACTTCTGGACTTCCTAGTCATATGAGCCAGCAAATTCCCTTATGAGTTAACCACAATTAGTCACCATTTCTGTTATTTGTAGCTGAAAGTATCCTTCACAATACAATAGCCATCAAAACATCTTCATCTATTTGACAGCAAGCCATGCGAAAATCCTGGAAGATGATTTTCAACAAACGTCTTCTTAAGATTCCCTACTGTCTTGTTTGTTTCTACTTACTTGAGACTAGATTCTTTATTGAAAGTATATGAAAATGTTTTTTAAGAAATAGTTAGATAAATCATATTTAATTTTACAGCTAGTAAATTTTTAAGAAATGTTATTAGAGACATAACTAGGGATATAAAGAACATGGATTCTGTAGAACCTAGACTAGCAAAGCATTAGAAAATACATGAAGAATGTTTAAAACATATTGACAGCAGAAACAACCCAGAAGACATTTCTTGATAAGGATAGCAGTAATATATCTTGAAACCATGACTATTTTGAACTATGCCTATCTCTAATGGCTTGCATTGTGATACGAGACAATGATAAATGTTTTCAAATAAGTGATTTAATCTCAAGAAGTAAATGTTAAAAAGAAAAGTAAATAAATCCTAGGAAAACCATAAACAGGTACTCACCAATACAGTAGTAAAATTTTAAGGAAAACAGTGTATAAAGGAAAGGAATAAATAAAGAATGTGCTGTAAGTTGAACAGTTGTTTCCTAGGTAAAAATTAACAATAATATGAAAAATATAAGAGTGTGAACTAGGCATTTATTGGTAGGAAGTAATAGGAAGCAATTCTGGCTAGAAAAGAAAAAAGGAATTGATTGTTCACATATTGGGGCTCATGGAATCAAGAGAAGGCTGAGTTACGTTTAGAAACGAGCAGAAGCCAAGACCACTCCAGAGACTAAGAAGTAAGACTCACAACAGGAAAAGTTAGATCAGAATGCTGCTGTTTAAAGGCAAGATGGAGGTTGGTAAATGAAAGCTGTTTCAGAAGAGACTACGAATATTCGATTGAAGAGGGAATGGAAAGATAAACTATTCTTCTGAAGAATTTTTCTCGAAAGGGAGCACAGAAAGAGAGGAGGTCAAGAGAGGTTTGCTGGTCTTTGTGTGGTGCTGCTTGAGCATGTTTCTGTGATGACAGGGCTGAATCACTGGCTGCAAAACTTTTCCCTGCAAGCGCCCCAAAGTTGGTTCCTTCTCATCCTTCGTATCTCTGCTCTATGTCAGTCACCTCCTGGTCCTCGTTTGATGACATTGTTTTATTTTCTCGATAGCACTTGTCTCTGTCTGTAATTATCTTCTGCATTTGTTTGATTGCCCTCTACCAACTAAAGTATGAAATTCATGAGAGCAGCAACTTTCTCCTGCTTATCACTGTCATACAAGCATCCAGAACAGTTTCTGTCGCAAAGCTGAGCCTTAATAAATACTTGTGGGATAAATTAAAAAACAGATAGCCAGAACTTCAACTGTTTCTTTTTTTATTATGTTACCTGTTTGAAATGCAAAGACCCAGGATTCAGTTGCTGATGAGCTAAGTTCAACGCTGTGTAGTCCTTTGTCTGGATAGGGTCTGCACTACCTTAGGTTATTTGGCAGGGGCTAGGTAACTGAATTAACTGTCAGACCAAAGCCAACTACGAGGGGAGAGAGGCCATTCTCACAGGAAAGTCAAATACTGCTAGGAATCTCCAAATGACGAATGCTCAATGCAGTAAAACACAGTAAGGAAGGAGAAGAAATGTTCATTTCTTGCCACAAACAAGCCAGAAATAAAAAGTTTACATTCCGCTTCATCCTTTAACAGCTGTCAGTTTCATCCTTAGGTTTCCCAAAGAAAAACTTTAGGACCAAGGGGATAGACAAGTCTGTCTGCTTATACGGATAAACATCCCTCTCCATCAAAACAGGCTGGGAGTCTGGAGATAATTAGACCCACTGTGTCAAGCAATCAGCAACACAGGGAAGAGGTCAGAAAAACAATGACAAGCGACCTGGTTAATTCTTAAGAGAAACAGAGGAAAGCCTTTGCAATCAGTTGGAAGATGTTTTGGCTGTTGTGGCTCATGGCCTAATTTGTACTTGTCTGCATACTGTTGATTTGGTTTCTCTGTCACTTTCGCCCTCTCCTCTTTCTCCCCTAGCACGGACATACTCACCCTAGACTCTCCGACATGGGCACAGTCACCACGCGTTCATCACAATGAAAACGTAGTGAACTTTCCCAGGTCGGCTTTGGGAAAGGCAGTCATTTTCCTCTACAGGATGCTACATTCCCAAGAGGAACGCCTAGGAGGTGCTCCTGTTTGCTTGGATTTACCTATATTTTTTCAGTGCTTGGGATATGTTAAATTAGAAGAGCTTTTTGGAAATCCCAGACCCGCTTTCATTAATCTTTTTCCAATAAGACGTTAGTGGCTACTAGAACGATAACATAATAGAATGAGCTCTACAAGGGCAGGAACGATATGGTTTTTATTCACGCCTAGCACCCTGCCTAGCACAAAGTGAGTTTTCATGAAATATTTGGTGAATAAACAAATAAACACACAAATGAAAGAGTGAGCAGACAGATGGAGCCGAAGGACTGTTTTCCAAGCAGAGACTTGGAAGACCTCTCCCGCAGCTGTCTGTTCTCCTCAGCCCCCTCACTTTATCGTGAATCTCTTATCTTGTCTTTCTTGCCCTTTTCTCATTGCAATGTTCTCCCTTCCAACCTCCTTTCTGGTCCTAGTGATATTTACTCACCTAAGTTAGATAAGACATCCTGATAAACGTGAGCCATGGAACATATAAAATATGCATATTCCTTGTTATATACACATTATATGATTTCTGAGTCTAAGAAAAGATATATTTTTGACAAGCTACAGGTAAGTTTTACTGGTAGGAATCTCCAAATGACAAATGCTCAACCCAGTAAAGCACAGTGAGGAGGGAGAAATTTAAAATCATGTTAATGGTAGAAGTGTCAATGATTTATATGTATTTCTAGAAGTTTTGTTATAATACCTCCTTGTTTTCTTTACATTTAGGGGGAGAAATGTAGTTTTTTTTTAAACTACAGCTCGAGTTTTTAAAATAAAATCATTTTAGTGACTTTCATGAGTACTTTTCCTTAATTATAAAAGAACAATATCACTAATTTTATTAGTTAGCTTGTTAAGAATTCTGTAGGTCAATATTCCTTTAATGACCTAGCCAATTTCCTCACCACCACCTTCTGAGATCCTTCCCATGCAGCATTTTTTTTAAAGAAGAAATGGGAATGGAAAAGTCACTTTGTTTTTTAAGGACTTTTTGAAAGTCTCCTTTTGTACAAGCCATAGCTCTCCACCTCTGCTTTTGATCAGCAAGATGTATGATAAGATTAATAACCATTATAAATAATTAGTGCCTACAGTGCCTTTCACCAACCATTATTGAGATGACTTTTCTTTTATAAAATATTATGAACCCACTACATGGGGAACACCTAGACATTCCTCTAAAATGCATTAAAGTGTAATCTACTCTGTGGGTGGTTTTTTTTTTTAATAAGATGAGCTAAAGAAACAGAACAAACTGTTAGAGCTAGAAGGGAAGACAGAAATAGTTCCAGTAGTTCTTTCTTAAAATAACAAATCCAAAGCATAGAGAGAGGTATGACTTGTGATCCCCAACAATCAGCTATTTGCAAGGCCAATTGCCCAATCCTTGCCTTTTCACAACTACCCACTTAGTGTTGGCTTTTCTAGCCAGAACACCAACTGCTCAATAGTTCTTTATTTTATTCACAGGGTTGTTTTACCAAGGGGCTGGATCACTTGAAATTTTGTTGAAGAAGTAAATGATAATTATACTCATTAATAGATAAGTCTTAAGTATTCATTCATTTTATTATTGTAGTTACTTGCTCTAAAATGCCCTAACCCTAGAAACGAATTCTGTGATTAGAAATATTCCTGTCATGCCAATCTAATTTATTTTAGGATGAACAGTGTGACTAGGTTGGGTGGGTTCAGGACATACAAACCAAAATCCAGGAGTGATTCTGATTTGTAGACTGCAGAGCTTCTTCCTACATGTATTTCCTGTCAGAGCAGAAAATGAAGTGAATACAGGTTCACCGGGGTCTACAAATGCATCCAGGGAGAGATACAGCAACTGGCTGGTGGCTTTGGACAGGCAACAGGGAAGAAGGATCAGCAGCTACAGATGAGTTGTGACAATGAGCAAAATACCAGCTAGTCAGGCACAATGAATCACTTGTGCACTCCTGTGTTAGGAAAGAAGTTTTCATGAGAATATGGCCAAGTGGGGTCTTCTATCTGGAGCCGATGGGTCCCAGGGAAAGCAGATCATCACCCTAAGGGGTTGGTCTGTGATGAAACCACTGATTGCTTGTAAACCAATGCGTTTCTGGGTGTGCACTCCTCTCAGACAGCAGTGTGGCTGTTTCCTTAGCATTGGTTCTGGATGTCAACATGCCTGGGTTTGAGCACAAAACCAGTTTCTGTTCTGCTTTGAATGAGTTTTCCAGAAATGATGGCTATGTGGTGATTCTTCACCTATTCTCATGCCTGGATCTGATTTGTGAGATGTTTTGAGGGATTACTGCGGCTTTATAACCGAGATTTATTTCTTTGGGAAGTTAACTGTCTTTTCCACAGCCATCGTGGTAGCCTAGCAACAAGGGACAGCAGAGCAGTAGCAGGGATTCTAAAACTCTAAGGAATGATGCCTGTTGACGTCTCTCCCAGGGACAGGGGATCGCAGTGGGCCTGGCTTGAGATGGGACAATGCAATAGCAAGATATCTGTGTTCTCAGAATCTGACACCCCAGAGAGAAGCAGGTAAGTTCCCAAATCCTCTCATCCCAAAATAATTCATGGGAATTTCTATATAAAGTAGCTTTTACTCAGTACTTCAGAGAAAATCTTTCTTTAAAGTCTGGGGAATAACAACAGATTTTATTCCTTTCCTGGAGAGTGACCCCCTTTCTTTGAAAGCTGCTGTCTTCCCAGGTCATAGAGCATGGCCTAACACACAGTAGGGGTTCAATAAATATTTGTTGAACAAGCAAAATGTCCCTTACTTGGTCTTCTCAGAAATCACACACTCACTCACCCCAGCCATTTTACTGATGTGGGAATGGCGAGGTTAAGAAGCCAGCCTTCTTTCAGTTGAAATGAAATGTCATCTTCACCACTTTCTTCCCAAGAGATGCACACAGAGAAAGCTGGGTCATTCCTCCTCTGCATGTTCCCCACACAGAAACCTAAATCAACACTGGCTGGAAGTATGGAAGTACAGTTCCCCTCTCTAATTGATTTGCATTTAATTAGTAGAGATTTTACATGTTGACACCGTACTCAGTTCCCTTTCAAATGTGGAAATATCTTCCATTTAAAATTTTGTTTTAAATCTTGAGTGAGAGGTGATCACATCTCTGTAGCAGGAGCTACATCCTATAAGGCAGTATCCTTATGGGATGTTCACTTGCAACCATGGTTCTGCTTTGTTAAGTTTTTGTTTGTTTGTTCGTTTTTGAGACGGAGTCTCGCTCTGTCGCCCAGGCTGGAGTGCAATAGCCTGATCTCAGCTCACTGCAACCTCCACCTCCCGGGTTTTAAAACTTAACAAAGCAGGGTGGGCCTGTGATGAACAACTTTCAAATGAATAGCCCAGTGTACAGTCAACAGAAAAAACAAGTGAAAAGCAGGACTTTGCTCTCACTGTAAATTATTTTGAGTGTTTTTTACTCCTGGTGCATGGAGCCGAATGTTCTGTGCAGATAGAAAGCTGGGCTTTTGAGGCAGGAGACAGGGGAGTGTCGTGCTATTCCTGTTAATCTTTAGGTAACTTCAGTTCAGCTTCTTCACTTCGAAGCAGGAACTGGTCCCATGTGTCTTGTTTGCCTTTCCTTCTTCTTTCCCTTCTACTTTCCTCTTCTCATGCCCTTGAGACAGACCTTCTCCACAGTTTACATGAACTTAATGGGAACTTACTCCTACATTGTCCTTAAGTAAGGGAGAGTTAGGCCCTGGATCCAATTAGTCTAAGGAACAAACAGAATTTTCCCAGGAAATCCTCTCCTATAAAAATTAAGTGCTCAATAGCTGTATTTCCTAGCCAATTTTAGTAAAATCATTTATTCACCCAGACTAATTGGTGACTAATTAGTCCTCCAATTTGACATAAAAAGCATGAAGTAAAAAGTTTAGAAAGCAGATAGAAAGGAATTTCATTTAAAGGAAGGAAATTTCAATGTTCTTATAACACACTGAGAAAAAGCTATGTAAGATTGATATGCCCCTGCTAACGGAAATTTAAAGAAGTTTTTCCAGATTTCCAATGAACCCTGAAGTAAGAAAACATTGCAATAAAAACAAGCTTCATAAACACATTGGTTAATTATATTTTTTTTATCTGAAGGCTAATAGGCTTTCTAAAGCTTTTTTCCCCCTTAATTATTGTACAACATGACTTCTCCTGTGTATGCTAGGTTACCATGGTTACTCTGAGGCCATGACTCATGATCTTTAAATATAATTGTCAGGCAGCCAAAGCTCTCATTTTTAAATCAGCAGTTTTGTGTCAGGCATTATTTTTTAAGTAGTCTCAAACTGTACTTTCTGTGGTGCATTTGTCACATCTGATTATGCACATAAGGGTATTGCACTCACATATTTTGTTTTGCTCTGTTTCATTCAGTGACTGAATATGGCTTTCTTGCCTAGCATAAAAAATAAAGCACAGTCCTTGTCCTCTATGAGGGTGTTACTGAGAAAATGTAAAACGCAGGTACACACATCATTACATACATCATGAACCGTAAATAGGGCTATAAGAGGTGTGATGTCTGAAACCTGCTTGTGGAGTCCAGAGGCAAGAAACATTTCTGACCAGTAGGGTCTGAGGGCCTTCAGGGAGATGCAGCATGTGAGTTATGGTGTGCAGAAATGGTAAGATTTCAACAAATAGAAAAGAGAGTGTGAGTGTTTTGGCTGGAGGAGACAACTGAGAAAAGGCTTAGCATGCACTCTGGAGTCATAGGCAGTACAGCTGAGGGAAAACATCCATTTTGTGAGTTTGACTCATAGAAGATGAAATTAGTTAGAAGGCTCTCAGTTTATTAAGATCCTTTAAAGCCATTTGTTGGTTTGTCCAGCAACCGCAGTGACCTGGGGTTTGTTTTCCATTTCATGATAAAGAGGTATTGTCAAGTAGAAAGTACCAAAATACCGTTTTTCTGCTGATTTGGGTGTCGTGCGAGAAAAGCAATTATATCTCTCAGAGCCCCAGTGTCTCCTTCCACTAAGTGAGAACTTAATTAATTTTGTTCAGTAGTCACTGATTACTTTGTGAACATTTTTAAATGGTTTCAATGTTTTAAAACAGTGAGTAAAAGAGAGAAATGTTCATGGAAATATGGAAGTAAAACAATATATTCATGAGGAAGATAGTGGGACAGAAAATAATGAAAGTACCTTGGGATTTAAAAGTAAGGCTTTGTTGATTGGCAAGAACAGAAATACATTAAATATATGAGGTTTATTAGATAATTCATTTAACAAATATTTGTTGACCATCCTACCCTTTAAGATGCTGAGAGTAGAGTAGCAAAAACAACAGAAAAAATTTTCTATCTCCAAGGAGGTTACATTTTCAGTTGGGAGATGACACAAAAAATATAATAAATAAGAAAACTCGATAGTATGTTAGAATGTGATAATTATCGCAGAGAAAACAGTAGGGTGATGAGGTGAGCAGTTAAATTTTAAATGAGATACATATGGTAGGTCCCACTGAGCTGATGACATCTGAGCAAAGACAAGAAGGAAGGAAGAGTAAGCCAAGTGGATAGACTTAGAGAAAGCGTTCTGGGACCCTGGGATGTTCTGGGAACTGAGTGAAGAAAGTATTTCAGAGAGTGATGAGTGATGTTAAAACCTGTTAAGGTGAGTTGTGAAAAATAATCACTGGGTGTAAGAATGCAGAGATCTTTGGTGAATTTGACAAGTGCAGTTTCTGTTGAGTGGTACTAGTTAAGAGTAAGCCAATTGCAGTGGCTTTAGCAAAAAAATTAAAAATAAAAATAAAAGAGAAGGAATTGGAGACCGTGAGAATATAGTTTTGCTGTAACCTGAATTGCAAAAGACGTCAGTGTAATCAAGTGGATACTAAAGCGGTAAGGCTCAAGGCATGATAAATAACAACATGTTTATAAGTTAATGGAAATGATCCAGGAGATAGAGAGAGGAAAGAGAGGGAGAGAGAACCGTGCAGGAGACAATGATTTCCTCACGTCTGCTGACTCTTAGGAGGTTATGCTTTCCTTTCTCCACTTTTTTTTTTTTAGTTGAATTACAAGATTTTGCAGGTTTTCAGAACAGATTGTACTGTTCAGACTACTTATTCTCCAGAGAACCTTTAAAGGCTATTTTATCTTCTGCGAGTAAAGTTTACATTCCATTATTTTTATTTCCTTTAGAAATGTCCAGAAATTGACATTTGGAGGAAATACTTTAGAAAATTTATTTTAAATGTTACAGTGTGATGATCTATTCAACGTAGGTAGGGGGGAGGAGGGTGGTGTGCGCACATGCATGCCTGAAATAAAATTTTAGAATTCTAAACTTTTACTTTATTTCAGCATGACGTCTGGAAGTTTAGTCAGATACACAAGAAAACAAAATATTGGTAAGAAATGTAGTTTGTATGAATTCTTTGTTTTAAAAAATCATTATTGGTAATGAAACTGACTTCTTTAATTAATATTGAGGTTTTCTTGATATTGTTTAGTTTTCACATTTTCCTAGTAAAGATTTTAGAAATAAAACATAGAAATCTGTTTTCTAAAAAGAAGACTGATGTAAAGTGGGGTGGAGTGGTAACTATGGGATTTTACTGAGGCTTTGGAAAAGTTACATATGATATAGCCTGGCCTTTCTCATTTTGACATGTGCTCCTACAATACTGTAGACATCCTGGGCTATTTTTTAAAGTGTCAGCTTGTATATGAGGAAACCCTGGAATTCACACATGAATGATATACATCAGTTACAACACATTATTTGGTTTAGCTAGACTTGGGTTTAAATCACAGTTTATTCCATATATATCTCGTTTTATTCCATATATATCTCGTTTTATTCTCTTTCAAGTTAGCTCATGACATGTCTACCTCTGACCCTTGAAGGCTTCTTACACTGTGAGCTCCATTATGTCCTGGGAAAGCTGGGTCCTTTCTACCTGAGCAACATTGAGTCCCTCCCTAGGCTCAGGTGAAACTGTGGGTTGCTGAGAGGTGCTGGAGCTGAGTGATGGGTACACAGAAGGTCATTATACCAGTTCTCTACTTTTATGTAAGTTTGAGGGTTTGTCTTTAAAAAGAAAAAATTAGCTATTTATATTTTCCCCAATCTCCTCTGATTCAGGTTGAAGATCTTCTGGACTCCACCAGAGACATTTCTGGAAAAATCTTTTCAGCTCTAATGTAGAGGCATTGTAGTATGGAGAAAAATTACAGGACTAGGAATCAAAAGACTTGGAATGAGGCCAAAATTTGCCATCTCTAAGCTGTTTGATGATAGCCAAGTCATTTGAACTCTCGAACTCATTTTTCATCTCTAAAATGAAGATAATGCGGCTTAACTAGTCCACTTCAAATAAGATTTTGGGGATGTGAAAATGATTAAGTACCTGAAAGTGTGCAGGAGCATGGTTATTCAGAATTGATAGCATTCCATTGGCCTTCCCTGTGGGCCAGGGGACTTTGTTCTTTAATTTCTCTATTTCTTTCTGGATTCAACAGTTCTGTTCTACCACTCCCTTCCAATCCTAGCATTACCAGCTTTATTAGTTCATTTTCACACTGCTATAAAGAAATACCTGAGACTGGGTAATTTATAAAGAAAAGAGATTTAATAGGCTCGTGGTTCTGCAGGCAGTACAGAAAGCATAGTGGCTTCTGCTTCTTGGGAGGCCTCAGGAAGCTTCTAATTATGGCAAAAGGCAAAAAGTTAGCCAGGCATCTAACACAGTAGGAGCAGGAGCAACAGAGAGAGAGGGCCAATGCTACACACTTTTTAGCAACCAGATCTCTTGAGAACTCACTCACCATCATGAGAACAGCACCAAGGCACCAAGATGATGGTGCTAAATCATTCATGGAAAACTTCCTCCATGATTCAATCATCTTACACCAGGCCTCCAACATTGGGCGTGATAATTCAACATGAGATTTGGTTGGAGACACAGATCCAAATCCCATCACTAGCTAAGAATAATTGATTCACTTATGAGGTATATATCTGGAACCTCACTTGTGTGCAATTATTTTTGTTCATAAAATGTTAACATCTCACATCTCAGTGTAGTTCATTTCACTTCGTCCTAGACAAACTGGACATAGCTGTCAAATTTATAGTTTTCAGAAAGAGAATTTCTATTGAAGAAATATTAGCCAAAGGCAATCAAATTAGTTTGGTTTCAATTAAAAATGTATTATCTAACTCTAATGATAATTTAATCTTACGTTGCTTTTTTTAAAGCTAAGAAAACCTAGTAATGAAGTTTTACTTCATTTAATGGAGCTGTTAATGATTCTGTTGCTTAAAGAGTGTCTCTCACTGGTCCACATGAAAATAATTTTTCTCTGGTTAGTCGGGACCCTTGAATTTGGAACATGGGAGTCTTCAGGGCTCCAATCTCTACTTAACTGCCCTGTCCTTCAGGGATGCTAATCAACCAGCACCCTAAAGGTAACCCTCTCATGGGCAGTATCTACACTGAAAAGGACAAGATGCCAATTACCCACCACGTTTAGGATTTCTGCCCAGGGCTCCAATTAGCTACCTGGAGTTCAGAATTCGATCCCCTTCCAATTTTCATTTGACAAGGTTGGGAGCCCTGGGGCTTGAAGGAATTGGTTCTGCTTCAGTTTCTGATTTATATATACATATACATATACATATACATATACATATATATATATATATATATATATATATATATATTATATTTCTAAAGAAATACATTTAGCTAGAAGACTTTGGGATTAGAGAACTCAAGGTGGTGGGGATATCCATGATTACTGCTGCCTTCTTCCACAGCACAGTCCCTTTTAAGTCAGGGAACTCATAGAGCATAGAACTCAGCAGAATGGATTCTGCTGTGAACCATGAGGAAACAAATTGCAGGTGGATCTCAGTTGCCCCTTTTAAATAATTACTTTTAGTTTTGGTGGAGAAGACAGAGATGAGAAAGTCTTTTCAATTCTTTGAAGATTTCTTGACTACCAAGCAGAATTAACCACGCTCTCTCTGCCTTTGTGTCATGGTGGTTCTTTATTTGCCTTTACTGCAGTATTCTCTGAATCTACTTTGACTTGTGGACTTCCTTAGTAAACTGTGCATTCCTAAAGAAAGGACTGGATTTTATTAATCTCTGGAACAAAATTTCAGACATCAAAATGGCTCTCAACTGATATCAGTTGAAATAAAACAAACAGACTGAGCTCCAGGAATAGTAGCATGTGGTTAAAATTCCCTGTCCCTCTGAATCCATAGAGCAGCACATGAGGGTGACGTCTGGCATCATCATTGTTATATTGATCATTTTCTTCCTATTATTATTATTACCAATTTAGAAATTAAGAAATTGAGATTCAGGGGAGTTTCAAGGAGCTCCAGATGTTAAGTGATGAAAGAATATGTGCTTACTTTAAAACAGGAACCTTATGGGGTAATCCAGTAAGAGTTCATTTAAATCCACTCTCAGGTTTCAGGTAGTCCCCATTAATCTAACCCTACCTATTCCTTGGGCCTTCTGGAGAATTAGAATGTTATTTAAATGATTGCTTTTGTTGTATTTTAACATCTTCTGACAGAATAGCTAAATTCTTAATATTTTATTTACCTTAATAGTTTATTTTTCCTTCAGAAAACCATTCAAGGTGGGAAGCAGGGGGTCTCTAGGGAACTCTCTTTACCTGAGAATGCATTTCTGTAATCTGACCAACAACGGTGTCATTGTGAAGGCTTTATTCCGAAGTTATGCATATAGCTTCTGTATTCCTTCATCAGCCAAAGAAGTCACATGGTCCCAAAAACTTCAGGCCTGCAAAAGTAAAATCATGTTATGCATTTGGGAAAAGTTTTAGAACTATCTTGTGGCCAGAAAGTTATAGCAATATAAAACCAGACTGTTAGAAGAAAAAAGGAAAACAATTGAACCTAAGAAGGAAATACTATAGATAGATACAAAATAAAGAAAAGCATTATCTCCAAAAGTTCTCATTTTAATAATAAGTGCTATTTAACTTGAGAGCAGAGGCCATAAAAAAGATCTTAGTGATTTAAAATGAGATTTGCCAAAGATCTGGGAAGTGTCCTTTAGAAAATGATCCTTCACAAACAACTGGGCAAGACGACCTATTTCATTTTTAATTTATATGATAGTGCAAAGGTAAAAGAAACAAAAGGTCTTGTCTTCATGAAAATGTGTTCTTTTAATTTTTTAAAATGTCAACAGGCAAAGAAATTTAGAAAACATGTGGCACTGAAACAGATTGTTTACAGACAGAATGTTTTTCAGAATTTCCCCAAGAGGCACCAGTGGTGCAAAGAACCTCTATAAATGGAAGCATTTGAGTGTCTCCAAATTTGTTTCATCAGATACCGATGACATTTTTCTCCATTTGGCTCCTTCAAATGGCAAAAAGTTCCTAACAACTGGCGTAATTTGAGGAAAGCATACTAATTTGTGCTGTGTAGTGCTGGCACATTTTATCTCTATGAGAGTGGTAATGTTGAGGAGTTTGTATATATAGAAAGAAGGGAATTTGGTAATGTGAAAAGAGGAGAGAAATATATATCCTTAGAGTTTAGGGGTTACTCTGCACTAACATTTTGAATAAAATCAAATTTTATATGCAACTTGCTCATCCTCTGGAAACTGAATATTTAAATCAGGAAAGACTGGGTAAGGGGAAACATGTTTTGGGAATCACCTTGTTTAAAATCTTTTAAAATTTTTAATTGTTGTGGGTACACAGTAGGTGTATATACTTATGGGGTATATGAGATGAAATGTTTTGATACAGGTGTAAATATATCATAATAACAACAGGATAAATGTGTATCCATTGCCTCAAGCTTTTATACTTTCTTTTGTTACAAACAGTCCAATTATACTCTTTTAGTTATTTTTAAAGGTACAGTAAGTTATTGTTGACTGTAGTCACCCTATTATGCTATCAAATATTAGATCTTATTCATTTTCTCTAATTTTGTACTCATTAACCATCCTCACTTCTTCGAATACACCTCTTCCAGACTCTGTTAGCCATCCTTCTACTTTTTATCTCCATGGATTTGATTTTTTTAATTTTTAGCTCCCCAAAATGCGTGAGAATGTGCAAAGTTTGTCCTTCTGTGACAGGTTTATTTCACTTAATGTAAGTTCTCCAATTTCATCCATATTGCTGAAAATGACAAGATCTCATTCTTTTTCATGGCTGACTAGTACTCCATTGGGTATATGTACCACATTTTCTTTATCTATTCATCTGTTGATGGACACTTAGATTGTTTCCAAATCTTTTTTTTTTTTGGCGTTTTTTTTTTTTTTTTTTTTTTTTTTGAGCCAGAGTCTCACTCTGTTGCCAGGCTGGAGTGCAGTGGTGACATCTTGGCTCACTGCAACCT